AATGCTCCAGACTGCAAAGCCGTTTGAACTGCAAGGGTGGTGGTTCAAGCTCACAGCTGCTCCTTGGGAATCTTATACAGGTCACTATAGTTTGGAATCAACTCGCTGGCACTTCACAACAACAATTTACTTATCTGTAGTGAACAGTCCCACATTTTTGTTTTTGTTTTATTATCATTGCCATAATTGTGCTCATTGTTGCAGACACTGTGTCAATCCATGTTGTTGAAGGTCTTCCTCTTTTTCACTGACCTTGTACTTTATCAAGCATGATGTCCTCCCCTAGGGACTGGTCCCTCCTGACAGCATGTCAAAAGTACATGTGATGAAGTCTTGCTATCATCATTTCTAAGAAGCGTTTTGACCTGTACTTCTTCTAAGACAGATTTGTTCATTCTTCTGTCAGTCTTTGGTTTATTCAATATTGTTTGCCAAGGCCGTAATTCAAATGCAACACGCTTCTATTCTTTCACCATACTTATTTAACCTGTATGCTGAGCAAATAATCCGAGAAGCTGAGTTATATGAAGAAAAATGTGGCATCAGGATAGGAGGAAGACTCATTTGATACAACCTTGGTTGCTGAAAGTGAAGAGGACTTAAAATACTTACTGATGAAGATCAAAGAGCCCAGTCTTCAGTATGGATTGAAAATCCTCACCACTGGACCAATAAAAAACATTCTTATCAATAGAGAAAAGATTGAAGTTGTCAAGGACTTCATTCTTCTTGGATCAATTATCAACACTCATGGAAGCAGCAGTCAAGAAATCAAACAACATGTTGCATTAGGCAAATCTGCGACACAAGACCTTTTTCAAGTGTTGAAGAGCAAAGGTGTCAGCTTGAAGACTAAGGTGCACCTGACTCTAGCCATGGTATTTTCAATAACGTCATATGCATGCGAAAGCTGGACAGCGAATAAGGAAGACCATAGAAGAATTGATGCTTTTGAGTTATGGTGTTGGAGGAGAATATTGATAGTGCCATGTGCTGCCAAAAGAACCAACAGACTCGTGTTGGAAGAAGTGCAGCCAGAGTGCTCGTTGAGTGCTTCGTTTCTCATACTTCAGACATATTGTCAGGAGGGACCAGTCGCTGGAGAAGGATATCATATTTGGTAAGGTGGAGGGTCAGAGAAAAAGAGGAAGACCCCCAACGAGATGGTGGCAGCATCAGTGGGCTCAAGCATGGCAACAATTGTGAGGTTGGCCCAGGATTGGGCAGTGTTTTGTTCTGTTGTACATAGGGTTGCTATGAGTCAGTACCAACTCGATGGTATCTAACAACAATAACAACAATCTTTCTCTGGTCTTCTCTATTCATTGTCCAGCTTTCGTATACCTATAGGGTGAATACTATGGCTGGGTGAGGCACACTGTAGTCTTCAAATGAAATCTTTGCTTTTGAACCCTATAAAGATATTTTTTGCAGCAGCAGAGTTGCCCAATGCAATGCATAATTTTATTTAACTGCTGCTTCCATGGATATTGATTGTGGATACCATTAATAGACATTCTTGACTTCAATATTTTCTCTGTTATGATGCTGTTTATTGGTACAATTGTGAGAATTTTTGTTTTCTTTATATTGAAGTGTAATCCAGACTGAAGGCCACATAGACTTTGCTTTTTTATTTTTTTATTTTTTTTGTAATGTTTTATTGTGAATTGTGTGATAATATACATGGGAGAACATCAGCTTTACATTCATTCCATCATCCATCATTTCATTGGCATAGTTACCATCCCAACCATGCATCCTCACCCAACCAAGGGGTGTATCCTGTAAGCCTGCACACACCCCCACCACAGTCCTCAGCCTCTTTCCATCTCTTGATCCCGAGTCCCCAGACCCACCATCTCTTGATGTTGTCTTCTCTGCCTCCATCTCAGGCCTCACTGCCTCTCTGGGTAGGATTCTGCTCTTCTCTCTTCTCCATCGATGGTCCCAGGGTCCTCCACTCCTAGACTGATAAGTTAATCACTCCCCTCTTTGCTACAAAATGTCCATCTTTAGATTTCCAACCCTCACAATCAGTCCTGATAACAATTATTCACCATTGCATCCCAAGAGACCCATCTATATTTTGTTTCATCAGCCCTTCCTGGACAGGCTGGACACTATTCACTGGAGACTCTACCTTCCTCCATGCCCTTTGGATCCAGGTTCCCTCTTGAAAGCTTGTAAGCCAGTCACTTCTTGCCTTTGTATCCCTCCCCCATTTTGGGTAGCCAATGTCCAAGTTCCCCATCCCTGTCTACCCTTTGTGTGAAGGGGGTGGGAATAGTTCTTGCTGCAGGGGTTTGTTTCCTTTTTTGAGCTACTGCATTTAGCCACATAGTCTTTGATTTTCATCACTAAGTGCTCCTAGTCCTTTTCACTTTCAGCAAGCAAGGTTGTGTCATCTGTATATGTTGTTGTTGTTGTTAAGTACTGTTGAGTTGGTTCTGATCGATAGCTACCCTGTATAGGATTTCTGAGGTGTGACTGGTGAGTTTGAACCATTGACCTTGAAGGTTCAAACTGACCTTGAAGTCTTACTTACTCACTAAGCTGTCTTAAATAATTGCACATTTGTTCATCATATCAAAGATTCTGCTTCTAGGTACAGCTAGCATCTGTTTCTATCCCAACCCCATAGCGCTTTCGTACAGAATCAGTTTCTTTTAAAATTCACAATCTCTGACATTAACCTGCAGTGCCACACCAGGACTCTGCATATAGCAGGTTATTAATGAGTCTTCATCCAGTCCTGGTAATGGGTTCTTTTTCATATTCACCTCCTTGGGTTATTTGCTCAGCATAGAGACTAAATAAGTATGATGAAAGTGTACAACTCTGGTGCTCTGATGCACACCTTTTCTGATTTTAAACCATGCAGTAGCCTCTGGTTCTGTTTCAATGCCTGCTTCTTGGTCTCTATATAGGTTCACATGATCACAAGTAAGTATTCTGGAATCCCCCTTCTTCAAATTGTTATCCACAATTTGCCAAATGCCATTGTACAGTCAGCAAAACACGTGTGTTTTCAAGCATTCCATTTATTTTTTGATAACTTCTAATATTGTTGTTGTTGTTAAGTGCCAGGGAGTTGGTTCCGACTCATAGTGACCCTGTACAGGGTTTCTGAGGTTGTAAAACTTTACGGGAGCAGAACGCCTTATCTTTCTCCCGGAAACCGCTGGTAGGTTCGAACTGCTGACCACAGCCCAATTCGTAACCACTATGCTACCAGAGCTCCTTAACTTCTAATATATCTTCTCCATAATATTTTTTTGTGACTTCCACCCTGAGGAGCTCATCTTCCAGCACTATATCAGACAACATTCTGCTGCTGTTTATAGTTTCCTTGGTCAGTTTTTTAAAGAAGTAGACTGTTGTGTCTTTCTAGTCTCAGTCCGCAAGTTGTGCTGAAAGTTGCCCATCATGGTTGACTCTGCCAGTATATAAAATACCAGTGGCATAGTTTTCAGCATCACAGCAATATGCAAGCCACTACATACCACAATAAAAATGTATATTTATCTAATTAGTTTTGGAAGTTTGAATTTTAATCCTGTATGATGATGCTACAGACAGCTCTTTCCCCACTCACTAAAGCTTCCATTTAAGGAGAAAAAAAATCACAATATATTTCACCTTCAATTGTCACTGAAAATAGCATCCAAAATTGCTACAGTACTATATAAACTTTCTTAATCACAGAAGTCTTGGGACTCTAAATATGTTGATTTGACAGTGCAATACATTGAAATGGTGTGCTTGCTGGGAGGGGCTGGGGAGTTGTAGAGGAGCAATACTGAAAAACCTTTCTCAAGTCCCAGCCACTGCCAGGTGTCCTGCCAGTGACCCCAGGAAGAATACCTTCAAAATTACTGGGTAATTCAACCTCCAGCCTCCGCCCCTATTAGTATATTAAAACCAGCCATAAAGGGCTTTCATGTCACTCCATTTGCCAAGATAGAAACAAAACCTGTTGAGACAGGTTACCACAAAGACACCACTGGCTGAAGTGTATTCACGCATCTGCCTACATCGTAATTTCACCGCCACCGTCCCTGACAGCGGCCACTACCAGAACCAGCAGTAGCCGCTCCTTAAAGTTTACTTTCCCGTTTTTCTAAAACAAAACTGCACTCACCTCTGAAATCACTCCAACAGGATTAAACTTTCCCCTACCCCCTTTCCACGCCGACACCCTGGAGACGAACCCCTACTTGCTAGTTGCCCATTTCTGATACCATAAAATAATGGACAAGTCTAACGATGAAAGAATTTAAACAGTACCCAGTTAAAGGGAAGAGTGCTAGGATTTGTACTACCCCGGAGGAACCACGCTGTGCCCCCCTGAAAGTTCAGGAATACTAAAATGACTTCCCGGAGCGGCATCTCCATCACTCCCTCACTTTCTCGGACTTTTTTCTCTTCTCGCTCAACAAATGCTGTAGAGAGAACCCATTCTTCAAAACACAGCAACAAACGTTTTCCGCCAGCCCCGCAGCCCTTTTGTGCTGCGTCTAAAATGCTCTGCCCTTCCCGCCAGACCCCTGTGATTGGATACCCCCCGAAGCCCCCCGCAGGCTCGGCACCGAGAGACTCACAATTAAGGGCAGGGAGCACATGGTGAAGAGCACGGTCGTGAGGGCCAGCAGCAGGAGATGATCCAACTCCTCCAGGGGCTGCAGGGACGCCATTGTCTTGCGGGTGCTCAGCTCTGTTCGGTCCCCGGTGCTGGAGCTCCGCTGCAGCCGATGCAGCCGCAGCCGTTGGTGCATGATGTACAGGTTACGCATGGCGCTCAGGTTGCAGAGCACGGTGACCAAGACCAGCAGTGCCATGAGGCTGCTGTAGAGCACTGAGTAGCCCAACACTGATAGCGAGCGCTCCTCGTGGACCATCTGGATGAAGCACCAAGTGCCCGGGCAGTACTGCACAAACTCCCCGAAGCCCGCGAAGGGCAACGCGCAGAAAGCCAGGCAGAAGACGCCCACAAGTGGCGCCACCAGAGCGCCCCGGCGCAGGGTGATGTGCCGTCGATAGAAGAAGGGATGCCCCAGAGAGAGCCAGCACTCCAGCGCCATGGCCAGGAGCTGCAACATCGAGGCAAGGCCGAAGAAGGACATGAAGAAGGCAAAGGCTTGACACAGCGAGTTGCCCGATGAGGGCACTAGCCCTCTCAAACTGCGGTTCTGTGCGTAGGCGGCCAGCACCACCGGGCTCACGAGGCACTTGCCTACCAAGTCCATAACTGTCAGGCCGCACACCAGCACACAGAAAACCGAGCGTGTGGGTCGCGGCAGGCGAAACCCCAGCCCTGAGCGAGCCAGGAGCACTAGCGCCAGCAGATTGCCAACAAGACCCGCGCTGAAGAGCACCCCACCCATGGTCGCTGAGTTGCCATTCTCCACCGAGGTAATGTTGTGGCAGCGGTAGAGCGGCGGATTCATAGCGAGAGGACAAGGACCCCGGGAGCTCCGGGTGCGGAGGAACCCCGGCCGCTCTACGCGCAGTTCTGGTTGACAGGCTGAGCCACGGGGGAAGCTCCCGGGTGTTCCCCTCAGAAGGCGCCTCTTATCCGAACTCTTGGGTCACACCCATCCCAGAGGGGCGGGACGTAAGGCCAGCTAAGTACACGGTATTGGCATTTACTGAGCGTTGAGCCAAGCAACTAAGTGCTCTGTCCTAAAGCCCAGAGTCCTGAGGAGAGAGACCTTAGTACCCAGAGTTGCAAACACAGAAGGCCGTAGCTAGATTCGGAGCACCCAAGGCCAATCCAAGGCCAGGGTACTTCCTTCGAGGTAAAGAACTACTGAAAGGAGAGGGAAATTAAACAGCAGCTTCTGGAGTGGACTCAAGCGTGGCAACAATAGTGAGGTTGGCCCAGGATCGGCTAGTGTTTCGTTCTGCTGTGCATAAGGTCTCTATGGGTCGGCACCGACTCGATGGCACCGAACAACAACTAAAGAGGAGAGGACATGAGAATATTGGTGGACTTCTGATGCCGTAGGCCAGTGACTCAGAGGATACAAGCAGAGGGGAGGTTTAGAGAGAGCTACCACCTAGTTTTCTTGAATTAGATGGCGGTGTGCCTTCGGTTCCGACTCATAGCTACCTTGTATAAGGTTTCTGAGGCAGTAAATCTTTACGGGAGCAGAAAGCAGAGCGGCAGGTAGATTCGAACTTCTGACATTGAAGTTTGCAGCCCAACGAATAATCACCCTACCAGGGCTCCTTGAATCAGGGGATTAGGGACGGATTAAAGTATTCATCCTTAACTTCAGTTATTTTATAGATCTGTGCATCATGGGGCTTGAACAATACAATACATAGGTGAGGAATTGAGGCCCTGGAAGGTTAAGTGATGTGCCAGTAAGTAAGATAACTAGATTAGAATTGGATCTTCTATTTGTAGAGTCCATCTGTCTTGTTCCAGATGGACTCCTCCCAAGAGATTAGGCATAGTTAATGGAAGCGTTTCCAGGAAAGACCAAGAAGAAAAGTTGGCCCTGGTACAAGTAAGTTACAGTGGTTATGTGGGAGAAATATGGTT